TTTGTTAACGTATATACTTATTTTCTTGTTCCAAGATACCTTGTACAAATCCTCCATGAGGATCACACTAAATCATCTTAATAAAAAGTTGTTGATGTGAATTTTTTTTTTTTTAATTGCATCTTTTATGGGAAATTTGCAAGAATAACTAACAAAAAAACTATAATTAAGTGAATAACCAAAGAAAAAAAGGAGTGTGATATTTTGTGTGTAATCTATATTATGTACGATTATACCCTTGGTACATGTTATCTCCTCACTCATCTGTTTCTCTTTCTCATTCATCTTTTTCTACGATATTGTATTTGTTTCGATGATCTTTCTAACATTTGAGCGTTCCCTTGCATGGGTTAGGATTTTGCTTATTCTAATTCAATTGATTCCGATTAGTTTGGCTTCAATTGTTTGATTCAATCTATAATTAGGGGTATTCCAAATTTCTTCTTCTTCCTTGCTTGCTCAATCTAATTAAACGGAAGCCTCACAACAATCCAAATCGCACCCTCCATCTACTTGTCACTCTCACCACCACCACTCCTCTTGGACTCTCTCTCCGCTGCAACTTCAACTCTCACAACCGGAGGTCGCCGTAAAATTGGAGTCGTTGTTGATTTTCCCGAAGAAAACGCTTTTACCATCCATTGGGTTGTAAATCACTATATCCGCCTAAGAGATGCCGTTGTTCTTCTTCGATCCAAGATTCTGATTATCCTTAGCATCCCAACATCAAGATCCATAAGAGAGAGCCATGAGAAGCACATCGACTTTCTCTTCCTCTCCGAACTTCCATAGTTGCTTCTCCACCATTGGGAACTTCGTTATCCCCAAATCTATTAGCCATTGTTTCAATGATTCACCCAATTTAGGATTTCTGTCGCTAGAAATTTATTTATTTGATTTCTCATTATCATCTCTCTCGAATGTCCACCCATACTAGGGGTGTCAAAATGGGTCAAGATTCATGGGTCAACCAAAACTCAACTCAACCCATGAACCCTAATGAGTTGAAAATTTTGACTCAAATGAGTTGATGGATCAAATGAGTTATTGAGTCAAATGGGTTGATGGATCAAATGAGTTGGGTTATAATGGGTCAGTGGTTTCAATGGTTTACCCATTTAACCCATCAATTTATGTTAAATTGAATCAAACCAATTCAAATCTCTAAACCGATTTCAATTTGAGTCTAACCAAAACTTCTAAACCGATTGAATATAGTCCTTAATTTTCCCGCCAAAAATGTAAATACACAATTTTTCCATCAAAATATAAATTCGTGATTTTCCCGCCAAAAACGTAAATCCGCAATTTTCCCGCCAAAAACGTAAATCCACAATTTTCCCGCCAAAATTTTTTATAATTTTTAACCAAAACCAAAAATATGTAATTTTCCCGCCAAAAACGTAAATCCGCAATTTTCCCGCCAAAAACGTAAATCCACAATTTTCCCGCCAAAATTTTTTATAATTTTTAACCAAAAACGAAAATATGTAATTTTCCCGCCAAATTTTTTTATAATTTTTAACCAAAAACGAAAATATGTAATTTTCCCGCCAAAAACGTAAATCCGTGATTTTCCCGCTAAATTTTTTTTATAATTTTAAGCTAAAAATGAGAATGTAAAATTTTCCCGCCAAAAACGTAAATCCGTGATTTTCCCGCCAAATAATAGTGACGTTGATTATTATTATTATTATTATTATTGTATTTTAATTATTAATTTATTTATTACATTAATAGATTAATGAGTCAACCCATTTAACCTTCTAACCCATCAAATTAAATGAGTTGATGGGTTGACTCAACTCATTTGGCTAAATAAGTTGAGTCAACCCATGAACTCATTTAACTCTAAACTCATTGGGTAATGAGTTGAGTTGAGTTGAGTTAACCATTTTGACACCCCTAACCCATACTATACTATTTCAATTTTTTTCATTTGAAAGCAAGTCTATTTATTGCTTTCTATTTGACATTTCATCTTATAAATGTAAGCGAACATACATCTATTTTGTAAATGTCTTTAAGCTTTTATGTATGTTTTGGACTTTGCTTTTTGTTGTACTATATGGATTATAGTATACATACCTCAACATATAAATGGAATTTGTTATAGACATTAAACTATATACTGTTTACTCTTTCATATAAGAAAGTGCAATTTAATGTAGGTCAAGTGTTAGTAAACATCTACGCTCAAAGTTTTGCCACGTCAGCCCAATTTTCTCTCTTCCAAGCGCGCGTCCAAAGACTGGAAAAATGTGAAGGAGTTTGTGGACATTTCATCCCATCAATGTGGGGAAAACGGCCTTTTTCAACCTCAACTATTTGATGGCGGGTTTTTCCAACCCAAACTATGACCCCTATTCGATTTCAACCCAAACCCAAAAATAATTCAAAATCGAAACATGAACTAATGCAAATGAGCCGATTTCAACACGACGCGAAACGGTGTTAGTTCGGAAGTTAATGGTTGCTCAATCTTGGGTAATTCTCTCTCTACAACATTCATCAAACCTTGAAAATAAAATCAAATAACCTTGAGAACTGTTAACTTCCGAACTAACATTGTTTCGCGTTGTGTTGAAATCGGCTCATTTACATTAGTTTAGGTTTTGATTTTGAATTATTTTTGGGTTTGGGTTGAAATCGACTGGGGGTCATAGTTTGGGTTGGAAAAACCCGCCAGCAAATAGTTGAGGTTGAAAAATGCCGTTTTCCCCATCAATGTGTTACTTACTTAATTTTTCATTTTGTAGTGCTATATCCTTAAATAATTTATCAAAATTGGCTAGTTTTGCAAATGACCCATCTTTTATCATAATGTTTTGTTGAGTATAATTGTATTTATCATTGTTTAAGAAATTAAAAAATTGCATCTACTTATTATAATATTTTGTTTAATATTTTTATACTTATGATAACATCTTTTCACCATAATATTTTGTAATAATAATATAAATCTTAATAAATGTTTTTGATGGTTCCGTCTCTTCATCACAATTTTTCATAACATATATCTTGATTTATTGTTAAAAAAATTTTCTTGCAAAATTATCTCAATTCTTTATAATTTAAAGTTTAATATTTTTCTCTTTAAAAAATTTTGATTTTTTTTTTCCGGCGACACTACAGAAGTTTTGAGTTCTAGTATATAGAAAATCAATGTTCTTTATATGGAATATTAATTTTATGATTTAATACGATGAACTGATCGACAGAAGCAAACAACTCCCACTTTATCAAATCTGAAATTATGAGACTATTTATTTTTTGATAAATTAGTCTCATAATTTATATGATAGACATGTGGACGCGTAAAATATTGCGAGACATTTGACTATATTTTTGTCCAAATTAACTAGCAATCTTTAGTTTTATTAAATAAATTAAAAATCCTATCAAGAAATCTTGTCCACCGTAAAATCAGTACACAGACACCTGAATGTGAATTTGACGATGATTTCCAACTAATCTACCTAATCCACCGTAATTATATTAATTAAAAACTGTATTACTGTTTAGCATTTCTCTTTGTGTCATTTCTTTAAGAATTGACCCCGTCAACTTTTCATTTTAATCTTTTTATAACCTTTCAATATGTCTTATTAACAATTAGAAATGTGTAGTACTTATAAGACTTCTTAATGCATATACAACTTTCCACTATTAGTTGTTTTGTACATAATAAATCTCAAATTGTGAGTCAAATTCATATGGTACGCTATTTATTATTTAATCTCAATAGTAGTATCTCTTAAATAAAATAGTTAGAGCAATTAATTAAAACGTTTATAATTTTGTAGAAACTCTTGCAATACAAAGTGAGCCACCGTACCTGATAATGAATGGTTGGAATATGTTTTTTTACCTCAACTTATCAAATGCTCCTACCAATTAAAACCTTAAAAATGGGGAAAATCACGTTTTTAACCCTCAAAGTGTAACTAGGTAGCACTTTAAACCTTGAAAGAATTCTACTAACACTATAAACCACTAAAATTGTTTTACTAACACTTTAAACCTCCAAACTAGTTTTTCTGTTTGCAAAGCAATAAAAAATAATGGAACAATCAATTTATATTGGTGTAATATATATTAATTTAATTTAATTTAAATTTTAATTAATTTTATTATTTATTACGATTTTGACGATAAATAAAAAAGTAAAAAAAAAAATTATCATCTTCGACTATTCACCGTCCGAACATAATTTTTCAAATTTTTATTCAGTTTATTGTATGTGTTCACCATCTTTTTATTCAATTGGTATTATGAGATTCCAATTTATCTACTTGATTGAGTAAAGATGCTTATGGATCAGTCTAAAAGACTGTTTCAACAGTTTATCAAGAAATTTCATTGTCGGACAGTGAGTAAACGAAGAAAATAAAGTTTTTTTTTTGTTTTTATAGATTTTTATTAATTGTAATAAATAATAAAATTAATTAAAAATTAAATTAAATTAAATAAATATATATTAAACAAACATAAATTGATTGTTCCATCATTTTTTATAGCTTTGCAAACAGAAAAGTTAGTTTGGAGGTTTAAAATGTTAAGTAAAACAATCTTGGTGGTTTATAGTGTTAGTAGAATTCTTTCGAGGTTTAAAGTGTTTCCCAGTTACACTTTGAGGGTTAAAAATGTGATTTTCCCCTTAAAAATATATGCAAGTTGTAAAATGTATATATTAGAACCGGTCTCTTCGGTTTTACTTATTCTATAACGTAGTGACTTTTACTTTACAGAAAAATGGGGATTTCTTTTTTCAAAACTAATCATATTATAATCGTGGTATTAAAACGATTAAATAAACAAAACCCTTAAATTTGACAAAGATGTGTGTTATGCTTACGTCATATCTGAAAAAGAGAAAGGTACGAAATGGGCAAAATTAGTCAACAAAGAACAGCTTCCGACTTTCGTAGCCTTTAAAAAAGCATCCGCGTTTGCGTTTCTTCTATAAATATCTTCAAAAACACATAACTCACAAATCCAATCCAAACCTTCAAAAACAGAACACAAAGACATGGATCGAACAAAATCTCCAAAGCTGGCTCTGTTCGCTGTCTTGGCCACACTCCTTGTCTTAACCGTGAACGGCCAGTCAGGTTGTAACACACACAGGTTCACCAACAACCTCGCCTTCGCCGATTGCTCCGACCTCTCGGCCTTAGGCTCTTTCCTCCACTGGACCTACAACGAATCAAACGGCACCGTTTCAATCGCCTTTCGCCATCCTGGAACCTCTTCTTCTTCTTGGGTTGCTTGGGGACTTAACCCAAGTAGTACTCAGATGGTTGGGACACAAGCTCTCGTAGCCTTCACCAACTCAAGTGGTCAATTCCAGGCCTATACCTCTTCCGTGAGTTCCTACGGCACACAGCTCCAACGTAGTAGCCTTAGCTTCGGTGTGAGCGGCGTCTCCGCGACTCTGGTCAATGGCGAGGCTACGATCTTCGCAACTCTTGAGTTGTCGCCGAATTTGATCACGACCAACCAGCTTTGGCAGGTGGGACCTGTTGTTAATGGTGTTCCTGCGAGTCATCAAACCTCAGGAGACAATATGAGATCGAGTGGTAGGATTGATTTCCGGACTGGTCAGGCATCAGCTGGTGGTGGGGGTTCCGGTGACAGGCTGAAGAAGAGAAACGTAAGTCCAATTCTTTCTCTAAAATATTATACTACTACATTGAAAATTTTATAAAATTACGACAAATTTAAGCCTTATTATGATCAAATCTCTAAAAGTAAAGTAAGAGTTACGAAATCATTTGGAACCCACTTTTTTATTTTTAGTATTCTTTATTAAACCTAGAATTTGGGTTCTTTTTTGATATTTAAAATTTTTGATGATAAATTTTTAAATAAAACAATATAGTATTTTGAGAATTTTCTAACAATTGGTTTAGAAATATCTAATACCAGCAAATAAAAGTATACTTACGAATGATAATTTTGAAATATTGTGGATGAGAAATTTTAGTCTTAAATAAATACGTTATTGTCAAATGATAACTGCTTCAATAAGACAAACACATATTGACGTGTTTTGTCAACATACTGAAAATGAAATGATGGCGTATATTAAAACCAAGCATTCAATTATTTTATTAATTTATAATTTAATAGAGAGCACCTAGCATGTAGATCTTTTCATATCTAGTAATAGTAAAGTGATAAATTTTTCGTTTCTTGTAAGTTAGTCAAAGATTAATGACGCATTTGTTAGGTTTTCTTTGAAAAAGAGAGTGGACTTCTCTGTCACGGTTTCATTTTAACCAAGCTCAAAAATTCTGTCTCCATTTCCATAATCAAAATTAAGACTTGAAAAGTCTTATTTGTAGAACTTTTTAAAATTCAATTACGCGTCCTTATTTTTCTCTCCAAATATTTTAAACTATTAGACATTCTGTGCTAATAATATATTTGACTATCTTAGAGAAAAATAAAAATGATTATTCCAATATCAAAATTGAACTATGGAACAGTCTTATTTCTTAAATTTCTTAACTTTTATTTACTTGTTGGAATATAAAATTTTATCACTCTATGAAAAATAAACTAAACATTGGAAACTTATAAAAACAGACGCATGGAGTACTAAATGCGGTCAGCTGGGGAGTACTAATGCCAATGGGTGCAATGATGGCTCGGTACATGAAAGTCTTCGCCGATCCAACGTGGTTCTATCTCCATATCGCCTTCCAAGTCTCCGGTTACGTTATCGGCGTAGCTGGTTGGGCTACCGGAATCAAGCTTGGTAACGACTCACCGGGAACATCTTACTCAACCCATCGTAACCTTGGAATAGCACTCTTCACATTTGCCACACTTCAAGTGTTTGCTCTGCTTCTAAGGCCAAAGCCAGACCACAAATATCGAACGTACTGGAACGTGTACCATCACACCGTTGGATACACAACCATCATCCTCGCTATTGTCAACATCTTTAAAGGATTCGACATTTTGGACCCGGCCGATAAATGGCGATGGGCTTACATTGGAATCCTGATATTTCTAGGTGCTTGTATCCTTATTCTTGAGCCTCTCACTTGGTTCATCGTTCTTCGCCGCAAGAGCCGTGGAGGTAACACAGTTGCTGCACCAACTTCAAACAAGTACTCTAACGGCGTCAATGGTACCACCACCACTGGACCGCATCACCAGGACGCCTAGTTTCACTTATTGTTTCTACACTTCTTCTTGTTTAATTTGTTCTACTTCTACGAGATTTTGGATTCTTTTTTGATTTGATATGTAGGCTCATGTCTGTATGTATACAATTTTATTCATTGTGTCATCGATAGATCGATTTATGGAGTCATTAATCTTTTATATGTGTGTTTCGTTTTTCTTACATGCTTCATGTATATAGTACTTGAATAACGAACGATGTGAGATTTTAGTTTTGAAAATGGTATAGTTAAGGTATAGGATTAGTTTGATAAATGTGTAAGAAGTAGGTGATTAATTGACCACATGATGAATATTTTTCTTATAAGAGTATTCTCTCTTCGTTTTAAATGAAATGTCTTTTATTTTGTAAGAAATGTCGCAAAAGTTTAAAGATATATAATTTTAATCTTATCCAAATGCAGTATATTAAGTGGAATAAATAAAAGACATTTCATGTAATAAATCTTTTAAGGTTTATTTCCCAAATAATTATAAAAACCAACCAAAGCACACAACAAGCATACACAACAAACAATGCTTAGACAACAAGTACTCTATACAGAGTACACGCAACGAAAACTAACAAACATTGAAACATACATAATAGGATACTATAACATTTATGCTAACTCTCATGGTTTAAATACCGAATTGAGTACTGTTAACAGATTTATCGAAAAACACCGGTGTTGGTAGAACGTATCAATTTGTTTCTTACTTGATTGTCTTCCAATAGAAAGATCTACATATCTATTTTTCCTATGGTTTTGTGCAAATCATAAGAAATCATCGACCCAAAATGGCGTTATAATTGGTACTGAGGTAAATATAAACAAAATATATATGTACACACTTGTCTATAGGATAAAATAATTTTTCTTTGTTATGCTTTCTTACTATATAATATTATAAACTTTTGATTCGTTATTGATGAATCTAAAAACAGAAAAATCGTGATATATCAAAGTAATAGTAGAATATATATACAGCATCCAATTCACTAAAGAAGGATAAAATTCATATGAATATAAAGATAGCTTATGAAGTACATATTCCATTGATGTTACAAAGAGAGGGCAACAAAAGGTGAAATGAGACAAATATTGAGAGTGTGACTACCATCCACTAAGGTAAGAAAAAGACAAATATTCGTAAAAACTTAGTAAACTATTCCGTCACCGGTCGAATGGAATCTGAATTGTCCATTTAAGATCTTAGTTTATCAATCTAAAACTCCTTTTAACCATAAAAAAAATTCCTTTTAACCATTTTCTTTTATATTTCACTCTTATAGACATATAAAGATATTTGGATGGATACTACATAACTACATATGACAAATTCCAAATCCCAATGTAATTTTGTTTTTTAACCGTTCACCAGTCCAATGGTTCGCATGCCATATTTTTGTTGTCGCCATATTTTTTTTTTTTTTCAGATTGTATAATGTTGAAACTACGTAAACGATGTTGTTTGACTCCGATCAGCAAACTAAGTGGCACTTTTTCAATATGTTTAGATGCACGGACCAGTGTGAACCTATTTTAGATTTAAAGATTGAAAGACTTGGGTTTAATTTGCAATTATTTACTGCCATTTGAATTATGATCAACCAATAACCATTGTGCACGTTCATACCAAAAAAGAGAGAGGAAAAAAAAAAACTATTGTGGACATATTAAATGACAAAACATACTCAACTTGTTTTAATACCAAGAATTAGATTGTGTTTCGACCCAAGATAACCAAATTATATTGTGAATTTAATCAATTTTATTTTATACCAATGGTTTTAAGATTTCTGTAATTTTCAATCTAAGAGGAAATATGTATTTGAGGATTATTTTATTTTAAAAATGGGGTAGGAAGTAAAGAACTAAGGAGAAAGAAAGTAAGAAATAGGTATTTCATGATTGATTAAAGGAAAGCAAAATAGAAAAAAAAAGTAGGCAAAAAAAAGTGGAAACAAAAGACTAAAAAGCTTAACTTATATGCTACAAATACAAAGAAAAACCTTCATCTATATGCATCTATACAAGAACAAAACTTGTTCTACATCTCATAGATTTAACACTGTACAAAGGTAAGACTGAGAAGAGATTTAATTCTATATTGTAGAGATAAGAAAAAAAAAAATTCACAAAACTATACTACAAATATGTTTATTACATTAAAATGGCGTATCTCATGCTATCACTAACCATAAGATGGTTAATCTCCGAGACACTGCCATAATCTCCCGACATCCATAGTCCATCTGTCCCGCTAACACGCGGCACCGCAAAGCAAGAGATGATCGAGAACGGGAACCGCATGATCACGGCGTTAAACCCGTCTCGTCTTCCATTAGCTACCACTCCCGGCCCGGCTCCTGCAGTGGATGATGGTAACTCGGTCTCGTCAGCTACGCGAGGGCTCTTACGAAGGTTTTGAAGGTTACGGCGGAGTACGGAAAGCATCTGCGTCATCTCTATGTCTCTGATCTTGATTTTAAGGATTTTAGTTTAGTGTCTTTTGTTTTTTTTCTTGAGTTGATGATATAGGCACTTTGAAGAGAGGAACATTATGGGCTTTCTTTTTATTTGTGTGAAAGATTGATTTGCAAGTGGGCAACTTGGAATTTGCTTTTCATTATTAGTGCTACTCTCTTTATCAATCTATCTATATTTTATTTTCTTTACCTATAATTTTATAATATTTTTGTTTAATGTGGTAGGGATAAATTCCATTGTTCGCCTTCAATTATTTACTCTCACGATTAGGTGAACATCCAATTATATTAAAAAGTTTGATTAAGCACTTAAACCATTCACTTTATTTAACAACCGAACAATAATGCATTACTCAAATTATAGAGTAATATCGTAAAATAATTATTGGGATTATGAGACAGAGAAAGGAAAGTGAGAATGTAAATAGAGAATGAAATGTGAAAATGAGAACATGCGTTTACTGTTAAAATTCAATATTATTACTTTGTTATTATTTTATAATTTCATATACATGTTGTACACATACATTCTAAAAATTAAATTATTATAAGATGATGAAATTTAACATAGCAAATATAGGAAAATTTTGGTAGGTAATTAAAAAAAAACATTTGTACGTAAATTATAGCAAATCTCCCTAAATAATTTGATGTCTCAGTAAAATAGTATGAAAATATATTTTCTATTAATTTGTCATTCATTAAATTTTGGTTCAGTTCATGAAAATTGTGTATAATCTAAAATTGTCTAGAATCCGAGTGGACCAATGGGAAAACAAGAATTTTGCATAGGATTAGAGGAAATAAACAAAAAGGTTGGATTCTAGACATCATGAGGTGTAGTAGAACCAAGTAGTTTATCTTCTTCAAGTGAAATCTCACCCAGTGGATGTGATTTAGTGATCTTGTTCCACTCATTCTCTACTCTGAAAAATACCCATTGAAATCGTCTCAACATCTCCATCGCTGTCATAGTGAACACCGTTATGTAGTTGTGCCTCAAATGTGCTGATAATTTGTATGTCCATGCGCATCTTAGCACCAGATTGCTCCCTATCACCCAGAAATATACCTGCAGCATCGTAATACTTGACAGTTTCAGACATTACAATACGAAGAGATCGCGATGGCGGTTTCATTGGAAACTGAATCTCACCCATTGCCGGCCATATAAAAGGTTTGATATGGCACTTGGACGGCTAAACTTGAATATCTTAGTGAAACCGCTGCACAACAGAGAGAAGTGATGTGATTGTGATTGTGATGTGACAAAAGTTTGCAGATACTGTTTAGTGAGGATAGGAAGATGCAGTTTTAACCAATTACCTCAAGTCCCAATCTCGAGTTACATCCCAGTAGAATGAGTAAAGTGAGTTGATGACACTTGAGAAAAGCCAGAGAGGTCGGTAAAATGAAGTCCAGCTCTCGGGCATCACATGATATTTAAGCGCAGAAAGGAAGATCACGGGTACTGCTGTAGAATACTTCAGAGCTGAAAAAGTATCACAGATCAACTATAAGACCGAGGGTAGGAAAAGAAAATCTTTCTTATTATTGTGGGAAAATTTAACATTACTGCTAGAAGGTTAGACTTTTACCATTTAAAAGAGATGATTTTTCCTTTGTGTCTTTGTATTGTCGAAGACATTGCAAAAGACGGCAAATGTAGGGGAAAACAAGAACCAATGGGATTGCAATTTGATGACTGCCACAGACAGCGTCAGCTTCAAACCAAGCAATTGTTGCGACCTGAAAGTCCAGGAAACCTCTTTAATCTCATATATTCCACCATTCCACAACAGACAACATGGTATGAGACCCGTGCAGGTTAGACAGACAACCAGGATTTCCATTGGTGTATCAGCAAAACTAAGATAGCAAAAAATTGGCTAATAAATCATATCCCGCAGTTTTTTTTCAGTCTTAGATGATAATTTTTGGTAGCTACAGAGCTATCTATATCTTCCAGATCATAGGAAATTATGGAACTAGTTCCTCCAGCATAAGATATTTCTAATCTATATTAAATATTTAGATGTCACAAAAAATGAATTGACAGAGTAAACCAGTTACCTGTTTATGCACCATCCGGCAAACAGACCGCTCCAAGTCGGAAAAGACCTGCATATAATTACCGATGTCAAATCATGAATGAGAATCAAGTATCAGCAGCATAATAGTTATCGGCACAAAATAAAATGCTAATGAGAAATGTGAACCAATTCCAGTAGTTGGCTGATAAAAAAGGCCCTAGTTAAACTAAGCCTCCAGCTACCAATATCTTTCTAACCACATAATTATAAGAAGTTAGGAAGCTCTCTCACAGAACTGGTTAAAATTTTTTACCTTTACCATGGAGGTCAGAATATCTGCCAAAAAGAAGTCTGGAAATGTAATTGGCTGTGAAACAAAAAAACTGGATCAGATATTCATGCTTAAATGAATTTCTACAAAGATTATAATGTAATGTAAGAGTTTGAACAAAACACAAACGCCACTGATCAGCATAACACTTATAAACCAGCTATTAAGCAAAACCTAGAGATTTGCCAATTGGAAGTTCAATTTCAATCAACAGCTGTCTATCACTTTACCTGCAGTGGAAAAGCTATTCTCCATAATGTTCTCAGCAGAAAATATCGACTTGACAAGTAGAAAATATCGAAGGGAAATATCAGAACCAAAGCAAAAGCAATGTACAGGAGCACCTGCAGTAGTGGGAATAAAAAGCTTAGACATACCTTAGCAGATTTATCTGGCATACAAAGAGATAACAGAGTAAAACAATAAACATTATAAGAAGGACATAAAACTAACCGGTTGTGAAGCAGCCAAAGATACTTCCCCGTGAGAATACAGATATAAATATGCCGTCATGCTAGTTGGGACAATGATTGTCATCCACATGCTACACTGCAGCCAAATATCACACGAAAGAGAAACAACAAGATCCAGATACTAACTGAGAACAATACCAAAATAGAGAAGTGTGTCTACTGTTATAGTAGCACTCTTCTTCATATCAAAGAAACCCAAAAACAATATATACAAACATGTAAATTAAACTTAAATACCTTCCACATCTCTCTATGAGTAAGGTGGTTATGATCGAGATCAAAGACTTTAGCATAGTTAACACTTCCTTGAGAGAACACCCATAAGTTCACTCCCCATAACCAAACCATCATCGTCTAAAGTATTCAAAAGTCCACAAAGCAAGAAATAATAATCAGAAGAGAAACAAGCTCTAAAAAAAGAACCAAAAGAGAATAGACTCTGAACTAACCACAAGAAGAAGAGGATTGTAATAAAGAAATGCTTCATACAAAAATAAATCCCGCAGGTCGATACTCATTCTCATAACTGAATCCCATCCAATCTATTCAAAAAAAGATACAATCAATATCATCAAAACAATCAATGTCGTCAAAATTCACATCTTAACACAAAAAGATCTTACCTTGCAGCAACATAAAGCCCAAAAAAGAAACAAAATAACCTGAAAAGTTTTATGATCAAATTAGACATTTAACAGAGATATACACTCTTAAAACAATATGATTCTGAAAAAAAAGAAGCAAAACCTTAAATCTCCAGAGGAAAATTGGAGAAGGAACCATAGTTGTAATATGAAGTGGTGAACTTGAACCTTTAAGGTCACCCATTTCCGATACACCACCACCTAAATGTCCGTTTAAACCTAAACAAAGACCCAATTTTAAGAATTCCATAAAAATTCAAGTAGATCTCTTTTTCTCAGATCAGCATCTAACAACATGCATTGTATATAGAAAACTGGGGCTTACCAGGATCAATGAAGACAGATTTGCTACCAGATTTACGAAGATGAGGACTATTAGAAGAGATTGTTGCTGGATTTTCAAACATGACCAGAGTTTCATGGTTAAAAATCGAATCTCGTAGTAGTCATGGGTTTTATAGAAAGCTCATCGTCATCGTCACTTTCAGAAGCAGATCGATCGGATAAAGAAACCCAGAAGAGAATTTTACTTTGTGAGGGTTTCTTCGGTTTGTAGATCTCTCTCACGATTCAACGTATTGAGTAGAGATTAAGCGAAAAAACTCTTCTTTCTTTGTTTTTCCGTTAGGATTTAGAGAAGAAGACTCTTTTTGTTTATTAATTTAGGATTTTTATTATTTGGGCTTCACTTAAAGCCTGTAGGCCTACTAATTGTTTATTAAAAAAAAATGAGAAGCCTACCCAAAAAAAATAAAAAAAAAATGAGAAAAATGTAATTTTTGTATAACAGTCTATTGACAATCTCAATCTTCAAAGAAAAAAAACAACACATATTAGGTTAAAATAATTTTGTATTTCCAAAAAAATATTTTTGCATAATGCGTTTTCTCCTTAAAACGTTCTAATTTTTCTTAATAAACATCAAATTGCTCTCTAGAAACTTCAACTTTCTTTTCATCACTCAACAATGGCGGAAAATCATCATTGTCACTTTGGACTTGTGCGTAGACCAAGTGATTTTCTAAATCGTTCTCGGCTACAAACACACAACTTTTAGAGAGAAACATTGTCCACAATCTGCAGAACTTCCATGAAGACCATGGTAAGTTCTTAATCTTGTTTCTTTAATTCTTATTCTTTAGCTAAATTATGGCTGATTACGTTTAGATTTATGATATTATATTTTTATATTCCAACTTTTCTTTCTCGATGAAATTGAGAAGTTAAATTGTTTATCTATGAAATATCGATGGGTTTTTAGATTAATTCTTGTTCTTATAAATTCTGATTGCGTACATAATTTGTTCTATTTTTTTTTGCTGATTACAACAAAAACAGAAATATTATAATATTTTGTTTACTTTGTAAATTTGATTCTTATTATGTATGTTATTTGTTCTTTTTTTTTCAATTGATTACGAAAAAAAAGAAATTCTATAACATAAAATGAAGGGCATGAGCCGAAAGACTTAATAGGCTAAAGTCTCTCTAAATAGTATAGATGTATTTTTTTCGGTTTTGAGATTAAAAGAAAATCAAACATAAAATAGTTTTATAAGGCATTTGAGAAATGTGCACACAATAATATAACCGCTCCAATCGTATACCCTATAATCGCTGTCTAAGAATGAGAAAGAGAAGAAGAAATCGTTTCAATCAAGAGGAAAATGCCAAATAACAACAAGGTATGCGGACCGGTTGCTTGATTTTAAGAGGAAAGATTTGGTGGTTAGGTGGGAGAATATTCAATAGTTTTAGTTTTCTTTCTTGCTCTTTGATTCTTAAAATCAAATAGGACCAAAATAATTGTGAATAGTTTAATAAGTAATAAAGAACCTCTATAATTTTGATGTCAGTGGACCTCTATTAACGTCAATGTCGGTGGAAGAATATTTTTTTTTTCTTTTCTAAATGTCCAATAGTATGCGAAGTGGAGACATAATCCCAACATCGTCGGTGATGCCTCATCGAGCAACAGTTGAAGCAGTTCCATCAGCGACAACTACAATGCATGCAACCTTCAGCAGCATCAGCTACATCTACAATGGAACCTTCATCCGCATCAGCTACAATGGAGCCGGTTCCAGCAGCAACATCACAATAGAGCCAGTTCCAGCAGTAGCTACAACAGGAGCAGAGGGTGGTTCTTTGTAAGAATCCAAAAGATGCCCATAAGGAGTATCTAGCCCATAGCTCTTTCTCATCCGCTTAACCTTTGCCTACTCCTTTGCAAGGAGGGAGGAGAGCTCATATTTTCCTACACAAAGAGTAGTTATATTAATAAAACAGTATTTACATTTCAAGAAAAAAGATATTGAAACATTTACTCTCAGTTAGAAGAGAAATTGCTACTGGATGAGTAGTAACAATCGGGGTCTCAATCTCTGAGTTAAGAGTGTTGATGTTCTGTTTTAACTTTGCAATCATTTCAAGGGTCGGGAAATCTTTGAACGGAATCAAATTCAAAACTATATGAAATTATAAAGACAAAATTAAACTAGGGATCAAAGGCCTATATTAGTGGAATCTAGATACTCGATTAGAGGACTAAACAAACAAATAAACTGGAATTTAAAGATGGTGAACAAATCTGGGGATTAAAGGCCTATATTAATGGAATCTAGAGAATATATTAGATTACTAAGCAAACAATAAGTGAGCTTACCAGAGAAAGTTGAAAGGAGGAATCGGAGTTCAGAATAAACGAGATTGAGAAGGTTGAGGATGAAATCACATTGTTCGCAAGTGCGTTTTTATATATTAGGGTTTTTTCTTTGAATACTTGTTTTGGACAGTCACGATTTAATATCCAAACTGGACCATTTGGGCGGTCACTATTTAGCCCCATTATATTATTTTGATCATAAATCATAATATAAACATATGTCTACCCTAATACAAATAATGTTAAGAAGCAAACATATTATTCCTCATCCTGAGAAAACTATTATTTCCACATTCTACCTTTGAACAATTTTCCAATATGCTACGCCAGTTTCATTTATTAGGTTAATATAATTTTGTATTTCCAAAAAAATACTTTTGCATAATGCGTTTTCTCCTTAAAACGTTCTAATTTCTCTCAGTAAACATCAAATTGGTCTCTAGAAACTTCTACTTTCTTTTTCCTCACTAAGCAATGGTGGAAAATCATCCTTGTCACTTTGGACTTTTGCGTAGACCAAGTACTTTTCTAAATCGTTCTCGGCTACAAACACACAACTTTTAGAGAGAAAAGTTGTCCACAATCTGCAGAACCATTTTTTTTTTCCTTCATACCATATTTTAAGTGTCTACCTACATATTCTTTATTATTTTTTATTAATTTTTCTTCATCATTGGATGAATTTATTTTATTCTTTTTTTTTTCTTTAGTTATTTTCTTAAATATAAATATGATCTTTCAATTCTATTTTTATCAAATTTTATATAGTTTTTCTATTGTAAAATATACCTAGATTTGAATTTGAAAAAGTATAATATTTGTAAAATAGTAAACAATATTATATGTTTTTGTAGTTTGTTAGTATTTTAGAGTTCAAACTTTTGTGATATTTAAATTTAAATAATATTGTTGGTTATAGTTCACATGTTATATATATCTAATATATGAAATTACGAATACTTAGAAATCAAGAGAAATTATATTTTCAAATAATACGTCTAGTACTATGATCATACTATTTCAAAATTTAAAATATAGTTAGTAAATATTACAAACTAAGTCTACTACTATGATCTCACAAATAATACGTCTTGTACTATGATCATACTAAGAGAAAAAAATATAGTTAGCAAATATTTTTTATTAAATAAATTTAAAGATAATTGTTAGAAATGTCATTTCTTTGATGATCTTTTTCAAAAATATTTTTTTTAGCATTTTTTATTTATGCCCTCTTCTAATTTTATATGACCATTTTATTCCTATTTAAAAAATATTTAAGTCAATAAAATGAAAAAGTGAATTTTCCCGTCAACAAAAGTTTTCGACAAAAACTTTTCCGCCAAACAATTTTCAGCTCTCATTTCGGCTAGAACTATCTCAATTGACCAAGGTAACACAAAATGAAATACAAAGCTGTGATTGCCCTCATTTCTAAGTTTCCTCCTTCCCTTTCCGTGAAAACTTAAAATATTTTTGGATTGTGTTTATTTTACGTTTTGGTGATAAAATTAGTAGTGTCGGAGCCGTGCCAATTTGATAGATTAGAAACACTAGCCTACGACATTTACTTTTTATAAAACACTAGCTTATTAGGTTTTTTTTTTGTTCTTGACCTTAAAGGTCCATCATTAACTCAATACTAATCCATCTTTCTTCTTAAAATTTTGGTCAGTTTGTGTTTATTTTTTCTCATGACCTTGTTTTTTTTTTCAAACTTGATTCTTCTCTTTTATGTTTTTACCAACTTTTTTTTTAATTAATTTTTGTCAAAGTTATTTTTGTTTTTACATGTTTAACATCTAAATAAAAATATTTCTAATTTAACAGCTATTTTATATATTAATTTTTAATTTATTTTTGCCAATCACAGAATAATTTATTTTTTTATTTATATTGTTAACAATTCATGTAGTTACTCCTAATTTGGTTTTTATTTATTAAAAAATATTTAAGCACTAAAAGATATTGTTATATGATATTTATAATAAAATTTTATTCTCTTATGTTATTGTTAAAAGCTCATGATGGGTACGGCTCTGGTTAGTGCCCGTAAAATACATATTTATACGTAAATATGGGAAAAAGAAATGGTTACATTTCAAAGACGTGCAGAGTAAAGGTATCAACGTTGGCAAGCGATGATTTTTAAAAAAATATATCCTACAATAGTGTGGTTCATCAATGTTGTATAAAAATTATTATAAGATTGTCAATACTATATATTTCGTATTTTAATAGTATTTTAGAGTTTAAACTTTTGTGATATGTAAATTTAAATATTATTGGTGGTTATGGTTTACATGTTAAATATATCTAATATATGAATTACGAATACTTAGAAATCAATAAAAATAATATTTTCAAATAATATGTCTAATACTATTTCAAATTTTAAAATATAGTTTTAGAATCTAGTTGAAGAACCTCCACGGATCAAAAGGTATAATCTTTATTGTTGTCGTCGATAAGCTTTTGTAAATCTAATCTACAATGTATGATATATGGAGTATACAAACATGTTTCTACACAACTATTTTGTTGTTGTTTTTTTTTAACTTTTCAAAATCTCTGTTTAATATAATTAATAAAAGTGACAGGTTTTTTGTTCAAAGTAGCTTCAGTGTTTCTCATAAGAAAAACCCTTTATTTCCTCATAGTCCCGGCCTGAAATCAAAGCAAGCAAATAGTGAGATTGTTCCAATTAGAGTGCTTACTCCAAGATGAATTAGGGTACATACCAATGGAGTTGATAGAGATCTACAGATGAAAGCTCGAGCCGGGAAAGGGAATCTTTAAGGGCAGCAGCGATAACACTTTCACGACCCAATCGCCATGGTAATGCAGCAAACTTTGTTGCAACTGAAGTCTCAGCTCCGTAAAATCTCTATTTTCTCTCACGGATGAACCTATTAAAAATCTCACCAAAGACAGTCCAGAAGAACATGTATGAGGAAATGAGGATCAAAGCACATTAATTTACATGTTTCCAAAATAAAGTGAAAAAGTACCTTCCTAAAAGAGTTTCAGAGCTTTTAACACCCAAAGAAAACTATAAAAGAAGAAAATGTGAGGCTTCCAATTAGTTTCAAAACAAACAACTATACGAAGAAAGAGTAATCATATTTGTCATTCTTACCTGGGAACCATAAACTTCAGCGGTATCGAAAAAATCAATACCATTGTCAAGACTGGTATCGAAAGTACCATTAGCAGCCTTTAATTTCTTGTCTACCATCACAGAAAAAAAAAAAAAAAAAGAGAAAGAAGAGAAAAACTTTATTCATCTCAATACTTGTTGCTGCTTGTTGATACATGAAGTACTGCAAACACAAAGTTACAAAAGTAGATAAAACCTGTTTTAAACTGCAACAGTGCTCTGTTTTAAAGCTTCTTTACCGGTGATTCCATCTATCAGATTCTTGAAATACTCATTGTAGTCTTGCTCCGGTGGAGGATTCTCAGGATCTACCGTGAAAGGCTCACTAAACGGAACTGTACTTTTAACCTGAAACAAAAAAACAACATACAAAACAGCCCAAATGAGAAATATAACATCTTGAATAGAAATCCAAAAAAATCGACAATTGTTGGTTCTTTAAAAACCTCGAATGTCTTGTTTAGAGCACACGGGCTTGACTTCGAAAATATTATGCTAACAACGACGGCGATTTAAAGAAACGTTGTAACGCCCCGACCGTCATCTCTCTTAATGGAGCCTACGTCCTCTCTCGGCCAATGGGCCCACCATCTTCCGACGGCCGGTCCGCTACGTCCGAGAGGCTTTAAAGACTTGTTTATCGACCCTACAAACCACAACATGATCTTTTCCTGTGTTTTATCCTCACTCACACAGTTCCGATAATCACTTCCCAAAAGGTCACCCATCCTGAAACTACTCTAGCCCAAGCACGCTTAACTGTGGAGTTCTCTAAGGACAGTTGACTGAAAAGATAAGTGCACTTTGGTGACATAGGTGGCCAAATCAATTTTTTTAAACCTCTCTGCATGCACCACCATATTCTTGAAACCGGGGTATTACAATTCACCCCCACTAACAGATCGCAACGTCCTCGTTGCGCACCAAGACCGTCACCCCCCAACGGTGTGAGCCCTCTTGACTCCGCACTCACTTGAGTTCGGCTCTGAAACCACATGTAACGCCCCGACCGTCATCTTTCTTAATGGACCCCACGTCCTCTCTCGGTCCATGGGCCCACCATCTTCCGACGGCCGGTCCGCTACGTCCGGGAGGCTTTAAAGACTTGTTTACCGACCCTACAAATCACCACATGATCTTTCCCTGTGTTTTGTCCTCACTCACACAGTTCCGACAATCACTTCCCCGAAGGTCACCCATCCTAAAACTACTCGAGCCTAAGCACGGTTAACTGTGGAGTTCTCTCAGGACAATTGACCAAAAATATAAGTGCACTTTGGTGACATAGGTGGCCAAATCAATTCTTTTAAACCTCTCCACATGCACCACCATATTCCTAAAACCGGAGTGTTACAAATGTACTATTATCAAAAAATTTAATCCGACTAAGCTAAGACAAATTAAGGTTCAGCAATGAAATCACTTACCTATGGAGAAGAAAGTAGATTTTTGTTTGTGTTTAGAGATTGGAGAAATGAGCGAGTATTTATAGTGTTCTGATAGTTAGTAAGGTTTTAGGTTAGAGAATATTCAAAATCTTGATGAGCAAGAATTTGGTATTTTTGAAAATCTTTAAATCATAACAAAAAAATAATAATATGATCAAATAAGGATAAAATCGTTTAGTTATGTGCATTTCCAATTCGTTTAGTTGATTGATATCGAATTAATATAGTTCAATTTTTTTAGAAAACAAATGTTAAATACAATAAATCTGTAGCATTAAAATAGGAAAATATTTACTTTGTAAATATATGTTTGTTATGTAAATATATAAGATTTTTATATTTACTAATCAATCATTTAATTTTGATTTATATAATGCTAATTAAGATTTGATTTCGATTTTATTGTTTTAGTACTTCTCATTTGCTAGATATTCTCGAGATTATGTTTATTAGCATTTAAAATTAAATATTTTATTTTTATATAGTATTAAATATATCTCGTAAACAAAAAATTAGTAATGTTTAGTGAGTTAATTTATTGTTTTCTAAACTTTGCTTAGGACAATATATTTGTCAGAATATTTTTGTAGGGACTAAATGTGCTAATACAAAAATGATAAAAATATGCAATATTTTAAATTGTAATATGTTAAAAAGAGATAATCTTTGAAAAAATTTAACAAATAACCAAAATAAATAGTTATTTAGGAAAAATAATAATGATATAGATAACAAAATATATACATGAATGTTAAATAGCAAAAAAATGTAACTTTCTATGAAAAATATCAAACAAAAAATAATAAAATTACACCAATTTTTATATATATATAGAGTTAAAAAGACATGAAATTTTAAATAGAAAAAATTATTTGTAAAAGACACAATTATTGGAACCATGTGTTTGTGATGAAAAGCAGAATAAAACATGGTGACAAGATAATACTCTAAATGAACAGATATAACTTTAGTTAATGCTTTGTTCAAAAAAAAAAAAGCTTTAGTTAATGCTCTCAAAAATATATTACAAAAGGTAATGTTGCAACAGTTCATCAAATATACTTAGGGGGTGTTATTGGTTTGTGATTTAAATAGAGTTTTAGTGACTTTGAATGTTATGTAGAATCTGTTGTTATTCAATCAAGATTTTTTAAAAGTTTGTTAAAGTTTGGTGTTATTAGTTTAAGATTTGTAAAAAGTAATCCAAAATCTTCATAAATCTGGAGTTATTGGATTCATACTCTTATAAAGTCATTAAAAGTTTTGTGTTATTCAATTACAACAAAAGAATCTATGATTGTTAATGAATTAAATTATTATGTTATTGATTTATGACTTTCTACACTTTTCTTCACAAAACAAAGTCATGAAAAGTATCATCAAAATAGAGAGATTGTTTGGGAAACTTTACAAGATTATGACATACTAATCAACAAGATTATAGAAAACTCTCAAAAACTCTCTAACAATAGTTTAAAATCTTTCATATGTTTACTTTCTATGATTTTATTAAAGTCATCAAAATTCCATGTAAATTAGGAACCAATAACACCCCCTTAAAGTTGTAATAATTCATCAAATAAACTAAAAGTTGCAATGGTTCATCAAATATATCAAATATTGTAACGGTTCATCAAATAAACTAAAGGTTACAACGGTTCATCAGATAATCCAAAATATTCATTGGTCGTCAAATAAACTAAATGGTACTATGTTCTATTAAACGGTAGCAATATATTCATTTAAATAGTAATTAAAATTAAAATTTTGATGAAGAATTATAACCGAAAGACGCGACCGTAGAAATCATATATAGTAAAAGTTGCAATCGTTTGTCAAATATACCAAATATTGCAACGGTTTGTCAAATAAACAAAAGATTACAACGGTTCATAAAACAAAACTAAAAGTTCCAATTATTTGTCAAATAAATCAAATGTTGCAACGGTTCAATTAAACAGTTACAATTTTATTTTAAATACATTTTAGAACTAAAATTGAAATAATAGTTTATAAAAAGTTACACCGAAAGACGTAACTGCAGATAATTAAAATGTTATAACGGTTTATAAAATAAACCAAGAGTTGCATTTGTTTGTGAAATAAACTAAATGTTGTAGTGGTTGAACTAAACGGTTGCAACCGTTTACAAAAATTTACGATAAAAAACGCAACCGTAGAAGATAATTATTCGGATCGCAACTTTCTAAAAAATTTCAACTGTAAAACATATATTTTTAGATTTTTTAAAATTAAATGTTTTATCGATTTATAAAAGAAAAAATTACAATTGTTCGTTAAATAAAGTAAATGTTGCAATAGTTCAACTAAATGATCGCAATTGTTTATGAAGTATTACGATAAATAGATGGAACCGTAGAAAATATTTATTCAGATTGTATCTTTTTCAAATAAAAAAAACCGTAAAATAAATATTTTAGTTAAAAAACCAAAATTTAAATCTATATAATATGAAACATAACTTTAAATGAATAGATGCAACTATGAAGATACAACCGTAAACTGAAAAGATACGACTGTAATTGAATAATTAGATCTGGACCCGCACGTTCGTGCGGGGTAAATTTTATAAAATTGCAAATTTTAAAACTTTTAAATTAAAAATAGTAAAAAATTATATAAAATGCGAAAATATTATAGTTTTGATTGATATACAGTAGTGTAACAAAAACAATTTTATTTTATGTGGTGTATTAATAGTTTGGTGTAAATGGATAAAATTATGGTTAGTGAAAAGTTGTGTAAATGTTTTAAAACAATAGTGTGTTAACCATGGGAAAACATGATAATTTTTTAATTGTTATAATAATAATTTTCTAAATTAATCTTTAAACTGTTATAAACCATATGGATGGACTCCATAACGGCCCATGGCCCATTAGGGTTTTACTTTATTCTCTGTATCCTGCTATTGTGCTTGTATATATATCCCTTATTCTATTAATGAGATGATAAGTTCACAACACGTTATCAGCACGATAGCCTCTCACCCTAAAAGCTAAAAATCCCGAAACCCTAAATCTCTCTCACAAAAACCAAAAACCCTAGCCGTCTGAATTAAGAAAAAAAATTTCTATTGAAACCCTAATCGATGATGTCTCAGTTTTTCATCATCCTGTCTCCATCTCCGCTTTTGATCTCCGATCCCTACGAGCCTAAGTTTTATTCTAAAAGATAAGTGGCCTCGTATTTAATTATGGTTCTGCTCCTTGTTCAAAAAATCGCTAGGCGCTAGTCGGGCGGCGAGGGCGGGCCTAACGATTAATCGGAAAATCGGATTTAAATCGGGATTTAATCGGGGATGTTTTTTAGGTATATATATTTAATACGCATGGGAATGATACGAGTATAGCATAGTCTAGTGGTTACACGAGCATGTAAGGCGCTGCAGGTCATGAGTTCGAGTGTTGATATGTGCAGATTTATGATTTTTTCCGATTTTCAGGTTAATGAATATGAAATTACTATATTACCCTCGTCTCCTACCTTTTGTCTGTGACTTTCACAACCCTAATTTCCGCCGCCTCACTTTTTTTCCCCCAAATTTTGTTAGATTTACCTTATATCTTATGGTTTTTACTTAATTTTGATAGATCTATAATCCAACATTCGAAATCAAGCTTAAAAATCTAGTAAACGTGAATTATTTAGATGTTTACGATTTAATGGCCGATTTGTCCAAATCGCCGCGGCTGCCCTCCGCCGAGCGCCTAACCGGCGATTAAACGGCCGCCGAGCCCGCGTTTTTGAACAAGGGTTCTGCTCATGATTTATATCGCTTTGGTCTCATTTACTTAAATCAAATTTATTGTCCAGCCTATTTATATGGCTTCACGATCTCATCGCCATCATTTTTTTTTTGTTTGATTCTATTTGTTTGGTTAAGAATGCTTTATCATGTTATGCTCAGATCTCATTATAATACTTTAATTTTTCTCAAGTACATAACCATGATATCTACTCCATCATGATATTTTAAAAGCTAGATTCCATCATACTTCACCATTGATCGACATATGTTTATTATTAATTGCTTTGTGAATCTATTGTGGAATGAAACAATGTCACCAGAAGAGAAAGATATAAGGCGATTACTAACATACGCCATCACCTCAATGAGAGTCTCAAAATCAGTACCTCACTATTAAGAATCCTCTGGACCTCAGGACAGAGTTGAAAAAAAAATATATATATATATATAACCACCAAACAACGGTGCTATTACCCAAAAGCCCGATTCGATCGGAAGAATCTTAGATTCCAGGAATTCAAGTCCATGAATGAGTATAACTCAGCACTATTTAAAATAGTGTCAATACTGAGATTCCGTGGTGAGGAAGTTACTGAGAATGACTTGCTAGAGAAAGCATTCTCGACCTTTCACACAAACAATATATTGCCTCAGCAACAATATCGTGAAAAAGGTTTTTACCACATATGCAAGTCTAAACTCTTGTTTTGCTACTTGCTGAGCAAAACAATGAGTTATAAATAGTGAAATGAGACCTCCTGGTCCTACCCCATTATCAGAAGCCCATTGGGCTGAAGAGCCTAAAGAGCCTAAAGAGACTAAAGAGTCTAACCACGTCCAAAGAGATAAGTATCATGGCCACAGTCATGGTAAATGGAATAAACGTGGTAGAAATGGCAATTATAATTTATATGATCAAGGAAACCATTCATATGGTTAAGGCCGCCGACCCGACTTTGGTCGTAATCGAGGTAGAGGCCGCGGTATACCCAAACCACAACACTCAAATAAACTTGTTTGCCACTGATGAGGAATGGGGAAACCATTGGACTAAGATGTGCAGGACACCTAAGCATCTCGTTGATCTCTATCAAGAGAGTTTGAAAAGAATCTAGAAGCTCATTTAGTTCATCACGATGGTGAAGACATGGTTCATTAGCCAAATTGATTGACTTTGAATTGATTGATTTATGAGTTATGAGAATTCAATAAACGAAATATTTAAAGACATGGTTCA